AAAAAAAAAAAAAAAAAGAAAGTTCTACAGTGTGAATATTATGTCTTTTCACTGTAAAACTGACAACTGCAGGCGATCGGAATTCAAATGAGATAGACAGAGAAAGAGGTGCCACAGGAGATCACACCGCATGGAGGTAGCCAATGCCAGCCTCAGGGTCCTTGCCCTGGTTACAGCACTGTGGCTTCCCACCCTGGTGAAGCTTGCTACTCCTGGGTGTCACATCTGTAGAGAGGGGACAACTATCTACCCCTCATGGAGGTGGGAGGAACCGAAGGAGCTGGCATGTGCAAAGACTTTTAAATAACACTTGTGTCATAAGCAGTCAGTTTGCTGCCCCTTGCCATCCCAAATCCTGTTCCCAGTACCAAGGTATACTTCTGTATGTCTTCCCAGAAATACTGAAGCATGTAAAAGCAGACCAAAGTCACTTTAAAAATATAAATGAGCTGAACTTGGTGGCTCAGCCTGTAATCCCTTGCCTTTGGGAGGCTGAGGTGAGTGGATTGCCTGAGCCTGCGGGTTCGAGACCAGCCTGGGCAACTTGGCGAGACCAATCAAAAAATTAGCCGGGTGTGGTAGCGCGCGCCTGTAGTTCCAGCTACTTGGAAGGCTGAGGCGGAAGGATCGCCGGAGCCCAGCAGGTCGAGGCTGCGGTGACCGGGAGCGGCCACTGCACTCCAGCCTGGGTGACAGAGTGAGAATTCAACTCAAAAAAATATATATATAAATGGACTTGGCTGGGCATAGTTACTCCCAACGATTTGGGAGGCTGAGGCAAGAGGATTGCCTGAGCTTAGAGATCTGAGGCCAGCCTGGCAACTTGGTGAGAACTTGTCTCTACAACAAAAAATAAGCTGGGTGTGTGGCGTGCACCTGTAGTTCCAGCTATTTGAAGGGCTGAAGTGGAAGGTTCGTCTGAGCCCAGAAGGTTGAGCCCGCAGTGGCCGTGAACATGCCACTGCACTCCAGCCTGGGTGACAGAGTGAGACTCCAACTCAATAAATAAATAAGTAAATGAACCTGTACTAATACATAATGATCTTTTTTTTTCACTTATAGTATACCTTAGAGACTTACAAATCATTGAACACAGATCTAAGTATTTTCCATAATTGCTCAGCATTCTCCCATGTAAATATTTTATTCAGTCACCTACTGAAGTGTACTTATGTTGTTTACATGTTTTGCATTGTTTGTTATCACAAACAACGCTGCGATGGGTATACTGTGTCTTTCAGACTAAGGAGAATATCTCTACTCGATAAATTCTAGGGAAGAAAATTTCTGGGGCAAAAGGTGTATTCATTAAAATTTTAGTGATTCCTCCTGGGCGCGGTGGCTCATGCCTGGAATGCCAGCACCTGGGGGACTGAGGCAGGTGGATTGCTTGAGCCTAGGAGTTCAAGGCCAGCCTGGGCAACATAGCAAAACCTTGTCTCTACAAAAAATTTAAAAAATTAGCCAGGCGTGGTAGCATGCACCTGTGATCCCAGCTATTCGAGATGCTGAGGTGGAAGGTTTGCCCAAGTCCAGGAGGTCCAGGCTGCTATGAGCCGTGATTGTCGCGATGGTGCCACTGCACTCCAGCCTGGGTGAAAGAGTAAGGCTCCAACTCAAAAAAAAAAAGAAAAAATGAAATGATTCCTGCAACTGGGCTAGATGAATTTACCGCCCCTCCAGAGAACTTTTGGGAATGGAGTTTGTGGGGTGATCTGCTTGAAGAGCTGGGACTTGGGTACAAGACGGGATTGGTTTCACGCGGCTGCTGTAAGAAATTGGGCGATTTCA